TGCTATAAGGTCTCCACACAACCTTCTCTTCTCCAGGCTGAACAGCCCCAACTTCCTCAGCTTGTCTTCATAGGGGAGATGCTGCAATCCACTTATCAACTTTGTGGCCTCCTCTGGACTTGTTCCATGTCCTCCTTTCATTGAGAGCACCAGAGCTGCATGCGGTATTGCAGGTGGGGTATCACGAGAGCAGAGAGGGAGAATCAAAAGGCTCCTGAATCCCACAGCCTGGGGGGACTGGTCAGGCTGCCTGGCATGGGGAAGATGAAAACTCAGGTGCTTAGGTATAAATAAATAAGCACTGCCAGTCTGGGAAGTGGAAGGAGATGGTTTTGTAAAGCATAAGCAGCTTAAGTCTATCTGTGCATTTCCACAAGCAGGCAAAATGATAGAAAGTGTAGCAAATGAAGGAATGTTAAGAGTTCTCAAAGGTAGGAAGGAAATGGAACTGTTGGAGCAAGTCCAGAGGAGGCCACAAAGTTGATAAGAGGATTGGAGCATCTCCCCTATGAAGACAGGCTGAGGAAGTTGGGGCTGTTCAGCCTGGAGAAGTTTGCATGGAGACCTCATAGCAGCCTTCCAGTATCTGAAGGGGCTACAGGAGAGCCAGAGAGGGACTCTTGGTTAGGAGCTGCAGTGACTGGACAAGGGGCGATGGGTACAAATTGAAAGAGGGGAAGTTTAGCTTAGATATCAAGAAAAGTTTTTGTCCCGTGAGGGTGGTGAGACACTGGCACAGGTTGCCCAGGGAGGCAGTGGATGCCCCAAACATGGCAGTGTTCAAGGCCAGGTTGAATGAAATCTTGAGCATCCTGGTCTGGTGGGGAGGTGTCCCTGCCCACAGCAGGGGGTGTTGGGACTAGATGATCTGTAAGGTCCATTCCAACCCCTAACATTCTATGATTCTATGATTATCCTAATTGTCACATGGTCATATACAGATAGCACTGTGATTAGGAGATTGTGGGTAAAAGTCCTTTGATCTTTGAAGGCTGAGAAACAGTTAAATATATTAATGAAAGCTATCATGATGAAATAATGTTAATCAGAGTCATAGTTGTTTAATCTTCACTTTTGTGGGTTTTGTTCCTTAGGCCAAAGAAGAAAGAATTGTTGTCCTGGAAACTGAAAATGCTGCTCTTCATCTAAAACTTGCAGAGGTGACTATTGTTTGGTTTTTTTCAAAAAGAGTTCTCATGGAAATAGGAAAAAAAAGACATTGTAATCTGCCTTCCTGTTTTTAGGCTTTACACTCTTCACCAGTTGGGAAAATGAGTGAAGGGATTAAGGCTCAGCATTTGTTTCCTTTTCTAAATCATAAATAGTAGCAGTAACAATAGACTGATTAAGTAACTAGAAATTGGTCTACGTATTTCTCTTGTTTTGAATCTATAAAAGTGAACTGAGGGAATGCCTCTACCAGTGTTAAATATGGAATGTTGCTTTCTGCTTGCAAGGAGCATGCTTGTCTAAAAGAGAATGGTAGATTTTGCAGGAATACTTTTTTAACGCAATTAGAACAATGCTGTAAAAAGAACTGTTCACAGAGTGCAAGGAAGACATTCCATTATGAGCAGACTTGCCAGAAATGCCATATTGCATGTCTTCATAGCACAAGTGTTACACTTACCTAGAAAAGACAAGGTAGTGTTGCACAAGTACTTTATCACAGAGCATACAGCAACAACTGAATGCCCTCATTTCCTCATAGACTTCTACGGAAGCATAGATTGTTCCTAGACCGTTGTGGAAACAAGGAGCAGCCTGTGATGATGTTTGGGGCCTTCAAAGGTTTCAGAGATTTGATGGATTTTGAATATAGCTCTATGCTCCTAGAGCGGAGCCAGCTGTGAGTATTAGTGGTGATACAGACTGTAGGCCAAGAGTTTCTAATCTGGGCTTGAAACATTAACTGGTTGCAAGACCTCAGGAAAGCCATTTGCCCTCCCTGTGGGTTTGTTAACACGTGTGGATGAAAGTGGGTTTAACATTTTTCAAAGCCTGACTGGAAGCAGATGGTACATCTGAAATGAGTTTTGCTGGGTATACAGAAGAATACTGTCATTTATTCTGAGAAAATGGTTTTATTGGTTTTGTTCTGCTTTATAATATTTACTGAGAGCCGTAAGTATTTCAGCTGGTTGGGGTTTTTTTACCCTCACAAGCGCAAGAAATAAATTATTCTAGTCAGTAAGGTACATCAGATGCAGGAAGGAGTTATCTGTGTATTAGATAATAAAGCTTTGTTTTCCAAATAGAACACTGCTTCATTTTATTGAAAAACGTGCTGAAAGATATGAGCACCTACAGACACATGAGGAGTGTGGCATGTTACCACCATCAGCCAGAAACAATGACAAATGATTTGTGGAAATTCTTTGCTGTTAACCTCGCACTGTTGTTTCTACTCTGGCAGTTATTTAAATACACTTAGAAGACCTACTGCTTCTTGATTAATTTGTCCCAGCAATCTGAAAATGTGAGCTAACTAACATCTGTGAATAGTTTTACCTTAACTGAAGATTGTCTATTCAAAAGAGCACTGATTTTAATCTGACAGATTTAAGGTTGTGTGATGTGGCACCATATATATTTCCCAATGTTTCACCAGCTGTGCTGGTGAGAAAAGCTACTGCCTCAGCTATCTATCCCCGACCCTTAGATCTGCTGGTGGAGCTGCCCATTGAGCTGCTGATTGAGCTGTAACAAGTTCAGTCACAGTGACCAGGGTTAACAGAGGCCTCATTCCCAACTTGTAAAAGCTAATTGGATTCACTTTGGCTGAAGAGTTAGGGAGCTCTGGAGACAAACTTATGAGGATAGCTGTAAATTGGGATTTGCAGTGTAAATGTTTGTCTGTAGGTTGCATCAGTCTAATAAAAATGTTATCTCTTGCTATAACCTTCTCTTATCTCTTCATAAGACAGTGACAGATTTCAGCACTTGCACTGTGTTCTGCAGCCTAGTATATTGTTATCCCAGCAGTATATTGTAAGGGCTGTTACTGAACACGGGAAATCAGATTCTTTCTTGGTAGACTTGCTTTTGCCTATTTGGAGATGGGTTTGTCTACCTGCATCCCCTTGCTTTTGTTAGCAGTCCTCGAGTTTCTGATTCTGCAGCCTTCCTTACATCAAGCCAGGTCTGCCAGAAGGGATCCAATTGCAAAACCGAGATTTCACTTTGGAGAACACCATTAAGTAGCTCAGTTTCACTTCTGTTTATAATAAAGCTGACTGTAAAAAGTTTTATAGTCGATTTTTTGCTTCTATGCACAAGCACAGATTTGCAAGTCCTGGCCTATGAACAAATCTGATGAATGCTAAAACTATTTTAATGGAGAAAACCTCAAAACCAAGGCAGCATTGCATTAAACTTGATATTGGAAGCACCAAGAGAGTGACTGCAGTGACAGTACTGTCAACTGTTCTGCTTTTTCCATTGCTGTTGAGAAATATGGAGGGTCAAGAGGAATCTGTGCAGATGGTGCAGATTAGATGTTAAAAGTAGGTTTTAACTAGCTTAAGCTTATTTAACTATTAGCCTTGAGTACTGAAATTGCTTATATATATATGCTTAACTTTTCACATGTGATTAGAGATACTAATTCTAGTGTGCTACTTGTGTGCATTTTTGTCAAGCTGTTTGTAAGTATCACATCTGAGTAACATGAGACTTGAAAATCCACAGAGTAAAAGAATGTATAAACACTACAGAATCAGTCTCAATTTCTGGGAGGTTAAAGCCTGTAACAAAAAAAAAAAAGAATTTTTAAAAATAATCTCTTCCTGCTATTTGTTATCAGATGATTGGAATTAAACCCATTATGTGAGCAGATTTAGCTCTTTCATGGCATTTTGTTGCACTTTTCTATGCTTCGTTAATTTAAATAACAGGGAACTGCAGTCACAGAATTTATGGCATGAATCAAGTAGGAAATAAGTCTGTGCTAGAGACGAGGGCATTTCAAAAATAAAGGAAGACACAATTAGTAGTGATTAAGGAATGATAGATGTCAACAGGTGGCAAGGGAAAGGAGGTGAAGCAGTTGCATCTCATTTTTTGTCAGTAAGTGACAAAAATGCGCTTTTTAATGTAATAGAGATTCTGCCATATTGCAGAATTTCACGTACTCTACAGAGATTTCTTTTTCTGTGTTCATGCCTGTAAATATTTAAAGTTGTATTACTTGCATTTTCCTTTTGATTTCAACACAGCAGTTAACACAGTACGTGTGTCTTCATTCTGTTTCAGGTCCTTTCAGAGCACTTTCAGCATTAAATCTAGTTTCCAGGAGACACTTAATCCAGCTATGTAACCAACCCTTTTCCCTACGTGAAGGCACAATTTTAACCCTTTAGATCCACCTCAAGCTTAAGTAGGGGGGTTTAGGTACTGCAAAAGCATTGTAGTAACCTGGTGCTCAGGTTTACCACCCTAAGAAAGTAGAATCTTGTGGTGTTAGGTGATCCTTCATATGACTCAGAAAAAGGTAAAAGCAAGTAAATTACTTAGGTACAGCATCCTGTGTAATCAGATAGTTGAGTTACAAGTGTTTGCAGCGACAAAGGAGACAGAATGCAACAAGAAAGATGAGCGTTTTAAAGCAACTCTCTAGGTAATTGTTCTTTTTTTTTTAACAGTATCAAGGGTTGGCTGGCAGAAGCACTAAGGAAGTTTTGCAGCTCTACACTGCTCATGGCCAGCAGCAGAAATTGCAGAGGAGTTCTGCTGTAACCCAGCTGCATGGAGCAATAAAGGTAAAGACATTAAGCAATAACATAGGCGTAATCTGTGCCTTGAACATTTACATGCTTATCAAATATAGTAAAACCCAGAAAATGGGCTGATATGCATCTGATCTATGGCTTTATTGTATCCCCAGCAGAGCTTGCAAGTGAGGTGTAGCAATGATGCATAATGGTTTTGCTGCAATATGCTGCAAAGTCACCTGAGAGGCTGGTAAAAGTGGCTGCTCCTGAGTTCCAGAGTCTTATGTACAGGCTGCTATCAATACCCAAACTAGATATTTTTGTCATCAAACCCTTACAGTCGCTGATTTGACTATCATACAGACATCTCCTAAAAAATAATTGTGACATACTTTAAACATATAGGCAGATCTTTTAAAAAAGCATTGGAGTGCTCCACTGATTTCTAAGTTCTGTTCCGGCAGACCTCACAAGAGGCAGTAGTTTGCTCTATGCTCACTCAGGTTGTGTTAGTTGTACATTAAAGAGACTAAAACTGTTCTCTCAGCGCCAGTATCAAAATATTTCTCTTTGTTGAAGTACTTATTTGTTAAGTTACTCCACAGAATAGTGAGTTCCTTTTGGGGACACTAACAAATGTCAGATTTTCTCAGGGCAGCACTGAATGGCTGTGTAAAACAACTGAAAAGTATCTCAGGAAAAGGTCTCATTCTTAACAGGGAGAAGGATGCAGCTTAATTGTAGCATAATTGGACTACGTGATCATTGTAGGTACCTTCCAACAGAATTACTCTGTTCTAATTATAGTGATTCTGCTTAGTAAATTTTGTGGTGGTGTTTTACATTTTAGGTTAGCTAGAATAGCAGAACTGCGTGTGAGACAATACCAGTGGATTGAGATGGTTTACTATCAGACATCAGTGAATGTTAGGGGAGAGCAAAGCCCTCCAAACAAAATTCTAGCTGCACGGTAATCCTGCACTCATAGTAACAAAAAAATACTTCCCAGTTACCTTCTGTGACTTTTGAGAGTGAGAAATGCAGTGATTTTGTCCCTTTAGTTTAGACTGGCTTTTTATCATTGAAACTAGTTGGTTAACTCAAGGTCAGTGCCACAGCTGGAAAAATAAAATGTCACAGAATATGTGACACTTTGTACCAGGCTGACTAATGAAACATCACAGTGAGTCTGTGAGATGAGGTATTACTAAGTTCATCTTACAGATGGCTTTACATGTTCATTTCAAGACTTAGATGTCAAGAAGTCTACTAATCCTAAAATCAGGTCAATTTGGTTTTATTTGTTTGGACTTGTGAGTGAATATAAGGCAATCTTATAAACGTTTAAAAGTCTCATCATATATCTTATGCTATATCCATAACACAAATACTTTCCTGAGCAATGAAGGTGTCTGATCTTTTCAAAATACTTCTGTTCTCATAGGAAGGCATAAAAAAACTTATTGAAGAAATGACCTAGAGTGAATCTTAGCAAATACCTCCTGATCACAGTGTGAAAAATGAATGCAGTAAGGGATACACGGTCACAATTTTCCTTGCTAATTCTGGGTATGTCTTATATGTGGACAGAACATACACATGCTCATACACACTCATTTTTGTCTGAAGAATAAAAAGAAATGGGGTTATACCTGAGGCTGTGTTACAGTAGTGTATGATAAGATGGTAAGGATCTGTAAAGTCTTGCTGAGCTTGTTAGGAAATTACATTGCTAAATGTCTGGCAGGATCCTTCTCTAAATGCACTGAAAGCTATACTGAAGACTTCCTTTCATTAAGTAGAGGGTTCTTCCTGCTCATGATATCTCACCATAATTATTTGTGTTGTTATATTGATTCTTCTTAAGTGCTGTTTTTCTGTCTTTATAATGTATTTTTATTCTTGCTGAGAAGAGGCTTAAGCAAGACCTGAAGAGCCTCCATTCATTTGCTCTTGAGCTTTCAAAAGACTTTCAGCGTCAAAGCAAGACTTGTCTATACCGAGTTCTGGCAGCAGTCCAAGAGATACAGCTGCAAAATGAAGCAATGCAAAGTAAGGCTCATTGCACTTACATTTTGAGCATGTATAACATCAACAATGTCATTGTTAAATGTTACTAACATTAAAAGGTTGAGTTTGAGAAACGTGTCACTGAAATTGTAGCAGTTGTTTCTTGTTTGACATTAAATCATCATGGCGTTCTGAAGCATTAGGAGGAGTGCAAATAACTCTGCAGAGGTTGACTGATAATTTGGATTTAGCTTTTGTGTAGATTGCAGCTGCTGTTAGGCTGCCGCTGAGCTGGCTCAGCTGTGACATTTTTAAACCGAAGTTCTCAGGGTTGTTATCCTGACTGTTTTAGAATAGCCAAATAAACAATGTGTTGCTTTATAAAGCTGAAGTTTGTCTCCTTTTGATGGTACGAGAGAAGGACTCAGGTGATTTCAGCAATTTCCAGAAATACTGCCTGAAATTAGGATAGACTAGACTTTTAATATTTCTGTGTACTTACTGAAAGACATTACTTCCAAGTCAGAAACCAGTCCCACTTGCTAGACTGTATATAATAACACCACATGGACTACTCTTTCAGAATTCAGGTGCTTCCTTCTTCAGGTGTATGTGTAAAGGAGACCCAGCAGCATTGCCCTCATCACTGTGCTGAGGGCTGAGTGCATTAGTCCTACACCTGGATCTCTTGGTATGGATCTCTGCAACTGCTTTCAATATCCTTGATTCTGGTGGAGCTCCTACCAGGGCTGAGAAGCACATGACACATAGAGCTTAAATTGAAGCTTAGCAGCCTGATAAACTAACAACAAATACACAAATTTATAACCAGAGACCCTGTGTGATGCTCCGATATGCATGTGTTGCCTTTTAAAAGGTACATTTTTCTCCTGCTTTACTTTTTGGTTGAAATCTTTCATTTTGGGACTGATTTGATTCTATTGGGACTACTCAAGTCAATAGCAACAAACAGCATTCTTGGTGATGGGCATTTGCAGAACCTGTCCCTGTATGTTATGTACTAAGTTATGATTTAAATTGATTTGACTATTATCTATGTAAAGAAAATGCTCAATCAAGATGTCTTTAAAATGGGAAAAAATGTGGAATTGAGGTGCTATTTGTCACCTTTATTTATTATCTTTCTAACCCTAGATTATATTTATCACCCTGGATAAAGGTGAATCTTTCCCTTATTGAAGCAGGGGCCTTAATTAATAGATGGGAGATAGGACTTGGCATTTGAGCTGTTGTGGTGTAAATAAATAGTGAGTTTTCCTTACAAGGCCTTGCAAATGCCTCTTGATTGTTCCCAGTTTGCACTTCATGGCACTTTGTTCTGTGAAATCATAACCAGCAGAAGCTTCTTTGCTGTACAAAATAGGATGTTGCTACTTTGGTGGGTGACTTTTATTTTGAGTTTGGCTGGTTTTCAGTTCTCTGTTAAATGTTTTAGGTGGAGATTCTATTGTTAAGCTTAAATATGACAGTTGGAATTGCCATCTTTGAATTACATATAATCTTTTGTAGACAGAAAGCCCTAAGTATATATTCTGGAGACAATATATATTACCAACTTCATCTTAAAATAGAGACTGAAAATGAGGGAGAGAGTTACAGAAGAAACATTTGAATAGGTTAGTTTCAAGGCTGTAGCTGACATGCAACAAGCTATAAAACTTTCCTGTAGTAACTGAGTGGTCTCTTTCTTAGAAATATTTATTCACAGTCTGAAAACCAGACTATTCCTTCCTTTCCTACTGAAATTTAAATAGCAGTCATTTATAAGACAGAGAAGTGTCCATTATTCTTTTGTTGTAGGCCTGTTGCTCTCATAAAAAAGGCTGCTATCATTTTAGCAAAAAATACTGGCCACCTGACTGCAAATGACATTATTGAGATAGATGCAGTAATTCAGCAGATTTTTGGAAGGGTAGGAATTTCTAAAGATTTAAGATTACTTTTTTGATTGCTTCACCATGCAGGTAAGAGGAAATTACAGCATCTGTGCTGCTGCAGGCCAGTGGCATAGATGTGCTCTGTGTTTCTGAGACACTTTCTCTCTGGGGTGGAGACAAAGAAAATAGTTAAGAAGCTTATTTCCCACTATGCTGGCACCTATGTGCTTTGCTCCAGTTGGAGAAAGCTGAGCTCTGCACTGTGCTGTTGACTTGTATTTTTGGAATGTGAACTACCATCATCTTTTATCCTCAACTCAACAGCAGTCTCATGGGCTCAGCTGCCTTTTGAAAGCATTTTCCTCTTAGTGCAGAGTAGGGAAGAAGGAGAGGGACTTGAGATCCAGCAACAGAAATATTTTAGCAGCCCAAGAATAATCACAGAATCATAGAATGGTTTGGGTTGGAAGGGGCCTTGAAAGATCATCTAGTTGCAACCCTCCTCCAATCAGCAGCAACATCTTCAGCTAGATCAGGTGTCAGAGCTCCATCCAATCTGACCTTGAATGTTTCCAGGGATGGGGCATCCACCACCTCTCTGGGCAATCTGTTCCAAGGTTTTACCACCCTCATTGTAAAAACCACCTTTCCTAGATTGTTCTATTGCAACAGCCCTGATAGTATTACATCCCAGGATATAAAACACATCTGAAAACAAGGTTTGGAATTGAATCTATTTCTTCATAGCTGCTTGTCCTAGAAGACATGGTCAGATTGGTCTCCTTTTTAAACTGGAATCTAGAATGGCAAGAAACATTAAACACCTCAGGAAACTATGGGGACAGCTACACATCCATATCAGTTATACTGTGGCTGTGCTAGGTTATGCTGCTCCTGTTTTTCATGTCCCTGCCATGGACCTTTCAGCTATGTTTGTGTTGTCACATGCAAAACAGATCAGGAAGCTGATCCAGGAGAGAAACTGCTCAGAAAGAAGGATTGCATTTAGACCTCCATGCAAGCATAGCAGAAGGTCTGGTGCAGGACTGAATGGGAGGGAATGAAAAGCTCCTTAACCAAGATTGTCAGTTAAAGGAACATTACAATCCTGCAAATGTTTGCAAGCCATCATGACTGTTAAGTCTGATTATTGATGAAGATCCTAACTGTGTTCAGTGACATTTAAACAGAAAAATCAGCATTCCCAGCTCCCAGAAAATTTCTGTGTAGGTCAGTGAGATAGGCAAAGCGTGGGGGAAAGGGCTTCTGTTTCATGAGCTGCTACTGGAAAATGCATTTTCTAAAGTCATGGAGTTTGTTTCTTTGAAACTGCTTTCTTGTAGTGTTTCAGATAAAAGCTTTTGGTCTTGAGCAGTCTCTACAAGAGGTGACAGAGAGATATGAGAAAGAAAAGCAGAAGAGGAAGGCTCTGCATAACAGCTTGGTTGTAAGTATTTTATGACAGAACATTTTCTTATTTTGTTAAAATTATTCCCATAATTTCCTCACCAATAAAGCTAATGGACATACTTTGCACGGATATTCCCCTCCCCCAGCTGTGTATATACGATGAGTGTATTTGCTGAGGCACATTAGGCTTATGGTAAACCCTACTAGGTTTTTGTTACACAAGCATCTCTCAGATGCATTCATGCAACATATCATCATGGAGTATCATCCATTTTGAATAGTGGACAAAGGTTGAGTTTCTTCATCCTCTTCTCTAAATTTGCAGCTTGTGAAATTGTTTTAGAATTCTTAAAATTATTGACTTGAAATTGCAAAACAGTTATCTTTTATTTTTCCAGAGATGTCCAGCTGTATCCTGCTCAGCCATTAGTGATGGTTCATTTGAGATTCATTTTTTCCTCTTTGTACTTTAACTGTACTTAACCTGTTCCTCCCCACCCCTGCAAATGACTAGTTTTGGGTTGCCTGATTCGGGACCTGTTTTTTAGAAACACAGGCTACCCTCAAACAAAATTCTTGGAAGTTTTTCTTCCTGGGAAAATGAAGCTCTTTGTCGTAAAGTGCTTACCTTTGAAACTCTGCCTTGTGTTGCAGTTTGCTGAAAGAATATTCCCCAAGGTGGTGGGGTATTAATGCCAGTGGTCACTAATCATCACAGGCCAACTGTTTTCACTCAACAAAATGAGAAGAACTGATCACCAATAGTGAAAAGGGAAGGGAAAACACTAGGTTAGATAATCTGAAGTCTAAAACAGCCTACAGAGACAAATCAGTTACTGGCTTTTTACTCATGTATGAACACACAGTGGAGAGGAAAATATACAACATGTTTTCTATTCCATATCTTCCTTAGGACTGGCAGAAGAGAAATGGAATGTGTAATTTTGTCTGTTGAGTTAATAAAGATGTCTGAAGAAGCTCAGGTAAAGGGGAAGGAGAAAAAGGAAAGGAAAGGAAAAATGGCTCAGATTGAAAGGCTGTTTTTTCCCCCCATATGGTCTGGAGAGGGCTGCACCATTCCAGAGCTCTGAAGAGCTCATACTTCCTCAAGTACCTTCTCCTAACTTATCCAGACAAATTATATTGATTCCATTTTTCTTTCCACAGAGTCTAGGGCTATGATGTTGTAAACACCTGCTTTCTAAAACACATTCATGTCAGTTTGATAAATTCCAGTGTATTTGTCCTCTCCAGTAGTTTATATTAAATACATCTTAATATTCTAACCCTAGGAACTGAGAGGAAATATCAGAGTCCACTGCAGGATCCGACCATTACTACCTTTTGATGATGCTGCTGGACATTTGATATCACAAGATAGGTAATTTATTTTGACTATGTTAGATCTGATCTGACTCATAATTAATATACAGAGAAAACAATAGTTATATTTATATGACAACAACTGTGTTCTTGATTTTATTCTGGTTTTTATGTGTGTGGGGAGACAGTGATGGTATCATAAAAACTAATTGCTGTTTTCTTTCTCCTAAATTGTCTTTAGCCAATCTCATCCCCTCTCTAAAAGTATGTCCACCTCAATAGAAAGCCATAGCTCTTCTGCCAAGCCAGGATTATCCCTGGCTTGGCAGAATTAACACAGCTGCAGTCAGTTTAGAGTGTATTCACTATCCTATACAAATTCTGGGATGCAGTAATGTAATAACTGCCAGAAGTCGTGGGTAGAGAAACACTCTCAGCATTACAGTTGTTTTGTAATGCTGCAGAGCACATTGGCTGTCAGCACAAACACTGGTGATTCTATTTCAGTATAATTTGGCTCTGCCACCAGAATTTATAACATGTTTACTGTAACTGAAGTGTCAAAACATTCCAAGATCCAAAAGGAAAAGAGGGATTAGATGTGAGTATGTGTTTAACAAGCTGATTTTCTCCATAGATGATTAACATGAAAGAAAGTAGGGATTGAAACACACACAAACAAAGAAGGGGGAAACTAGGTGGGTGGCTAGAAACCTGTAATATTATCATTTGCTCTATCAGTAAATAGCTGATCTGGGGCTTTATTTTACTTTTACTGCCTGGTAATTCTAAAAGAGTACATTGATTTTGGGCAAATCTTAAAAAATATATAATTGTTTTAATTAAAACAAACAACATCAAAAATAACAGACAAGAAATTTCAAGGAGCCTGAAGGAGAAACTTGCATTAAACTATGCTTGATAAACCTGGGCAAGGAACCCACTCACTGTTTTTGCTGCAGTATGGAACAGTGCACTCAGGCACTGAATTGCAGTGCAAAACAGGATGAACTAGGCCAAACAAATAATTGTTATAGGTAACTTTTCTTAATGTATCCCAAAGTAATGTAAACAAAACTTAGTTGTAATACTAAGGACTGATTCTCCAAACACACACATGAATGAATTTATACACTTCAATAATCCAGTCAGTGTTTGGACTAGTAATGAATGCAAGAGCAGGTACAAATGCCTAAAAAGGGAGTGTTTTTCACTTTAATGTTCTAAACTGAAAGCCTCTTGTTACAAGCTCACGTTACAATCTCAAAATAACGGAATGGCTTGCATGTGAATTAGTCTCAGTTTGGTTTGTTCTAAATGCCTTTTTTAAAGCAGATTATTTTGCTTGATTGCACTTTAGTTTGGTTTTTTATTCACAACTAACTGTGGCGTTAGTATGTACATGGGGTACAGTAATAATGTCAATTCTGAAAGGTACTCTTCAGACAAAATGTGGTTCACAGACACTTTGAACATTGGCTTTCCTCAGCTCAGTGGAACACTTACGACTTGAAAGGTACTTTTTGTTTTCCCCCACTATTGT